GACTACAGACAGTCCTAACCAATAGGCCGCCATCTTTTTTATAAAAGGCCAAGTTTATATAAACCATTTGCAACCGACTTGGCTACTTATCAAGAGCGCTACTTAGATATAAGCAACCACTAAAAAAGGAAAATGGGAAACTTGATTTCTGTTTTCCGGTATGGTGACACAAATTGAACAATAAACTACAATGTTAGCTTGATCCCTAAATTATTTTCAAATCAATTGGTTGCCTGATGTTTCATATCAGAAACAGGGATATGAAGGTACAATTTAAAGCTGTCATTGAATAGAATTAAACCCCCGGCTAAAACAAGTCACTGATGAGATAACATCAGATTTGTCTAATTGCACGAATAGATTATGGTCATAAAATATCGAAACAACAAAACGACTGATCAATTTTGGAGAGAATACGTTTATGGCCTAAACCGCGCTAATTTGCAGACGTACTGATCACTTTCGAGATAGCAAATGGGAAAAAAACGGGGGAGGAGCATTTGTCGATGTTTAGATATATTGACAGAAATGGTCCTCTAGATTAAATTCAAGAGCGTTGTAATTCTGTGAGTGAAGGTTAACCTTAGTTTTTGCAATGAAGACGACCAACCGAAGATGCAAACGTGAAAAAGAGCCTAAAACAAATCATTTTTGGCAGAGTATGAAAAATAACGACAGCTGAAAATAGCTAGAAAGAATGGACATTATTCGAGGAAAACCACTTGCTGTAAATTTGAGAAGCAAAGGCTTTTAGAACGGTTGATGGACTTGGTTTAAAATCCCCCCATTGCTGGTACCATATCAATGACAAATTGACAACTGACAGCACGGCTTAAAACACGTGTTAAAACTATTCGTTGAATGATTTAACGGTCTAATCGTCTTGCTAAAACCACTATCAAACACAAACTTGTTAATTCAAATTTACTTAGGATCAGCAATGTACACCATGTGTCAAATGAGGGTTTCACTGACAATTATCTAAAGCATGTGGGGGTGGGGCGTCTGCATGTGGGGGTGGGGCGTCTGCATGTGGGAGTGGGGCGTCTGTATGAAGCACCAACTTTCTCCTCCATAATGACCCGTGTCATTAAACCACTACTTTTCGACAATTACATTTTAATTATTTCAATCAACGATTGATGGCAGTTTCCGAAAACCCTTTCAATATTCGAAATGACGACAGGGGGAACCTGCGAACTGTAATGAAATTAAAGTCTATATTTGATTTCCTGCCCAGAGGCTTCAAAAATTTCATTTTTGCGTGGGACTGAACTCCTTGGTATCAAAAGTGAACATCATTACGTTTTCCGCTTTCCCATTTCGACTAACCCTCGGTTCGGCCTAACCTTTATCAACATTGAATTCATACTTTACCTTCTATATTCAAGGAAACAAAACTATACCGCGGGGAAAGAGGGGTGCTATGGTGGTGAGTAGGGTATCAAACAGCAGCGGGAAATCAATGTATGGTCAAGATCTCTAAGCTTTTTGGCGGAATGCCCTCTAACGAAAATGAACTGTAAAAAGTTCTTGGCTCTGACATGGTTTTGATCGCTGCAGCAGCTGTGCTGATGGGACTACAAGCAACGGGAACTTTGGCAACCACGTGGATATTTGCCGTTCATATACTAGCGAGCAGAGTAAGCTCAGAAACAATTTCGCAATGAACACTTGATGTTTCTAGAGCCTCTGTTGATGTTTTTATCAAGATATGGCGATCGGGACTGATCCAGCGCAAACGGTGCGACTATTTTTGCAACTGTAAGACCTAAACCGTCGTGACACAGCTGACATGCTATGAAGAATTGAGCCTAGAAACCAAGGAATTACTTTTGATTACAAGAAGTAAAAGAATATGAGTTAAACGAGGGATATTTGAAGATCCTCGCAATCCAGCCTTATCACAATTTCCCAATCTCCTTTATTAATTATTAATAGCGGACATCTTCGAATACAAGATGCAACTCAGTTGGGTTCCCTTCTTATTTTTAATAGAAGAGGCGCAACATGGTGCGAATTTGTGAGTCTTCTACCAGCTGCACGCGAAGAGAGAGCTAAGAGTGTTTTATAAAAACCAAAGAGCAATTTTGTTCTGCGCACAAGGCACCGCTGTGCGGATTATTAGAGTTAACACTTTCAGAATTTGTTCTTAAACATTCGAGTTGATGAATCTAAGCAGGAAGATAAATGACATTGTTAAATAGCTAATGAACCATCAGATGATCGAGAAGATTAATTATCTAAAAAGGAACCAGAAATGGAGGAATCATGAATTTGCTTATCATTATTAATAAAAATCCACTGGATTGTGGATTTTTATCAAATTGTAAAAATAGGAAATAAAAGAAGCCAAATTGTCAAACTCTTAAGAAGATTTAATGAAAATACCAAATTTAATAATGGAAACACTACTGAGTTGAAAATGGATCGATATTGCGAAATTAAAAAGCCCAGAAGGCAATTGAATGACAATGATACACCCACTCGTGTTGTTTCTCATAAAGATAAATGCATGTTGATATTCCTGTATTGTATTTATTATTTCGTTTAATCAAAATATATTTCCATCCAGCCTTTGAACAGTAGCCTTGCTAGAGTGGCTGAATTACAATATTTGCTGGCCTAAAAACTTCAGACCCTGTACAATTTAAAGCATTTTTCCCTTCTAGCATAAAAAATTTAAGCCTGCTTACCAAAATATACCTATGATGAAGATCACAAACTATTATTATCATATGAATATTCAACATATTGAAAGCAACCTAAATTTTTTACAATGGCCCATTGGATTATTTACTGTCAGTCCAAAATATTTTATATTATAAATCTGACAACAAATCTCTGTGATGGACCTTCACTTAAAAAAACAGAAAACAAGTTTTTTAGAAAAATTAAAAAGAATTTAAAAATCATTTCCCCTTACTACACATTTGCTCATACTGCTAGGTACAACAATTTAATAAACAATATTAACCATTAACCAAAATCTGCCCATTCTTTTCATTTTCACCAGCCCTTTTTCATAAAATTTCATAACAGTTTTTAAATAAAATCATGAATTTTATTCACTTTCATTTCTGTAGGTTTATTGAAACGTCTCTTCAACACACTGATGATTAACTTTAAGGATTCAATGGGGTTTTTCATCAGTCATGAATTCCATGCATTAAGTGACTGTTTTCTCTTGTTGTGTTGCTTTGTTTGTGAATACAAACCAATCCTTTACCTTTTTAGAAACTGTGTTTTTAGAAATTGCATCCAGCCAAACAGACCTATCTGAAGTATTTGTCTTTCAATTTAAATTTATATTATTAAATTCAGCATTATATAACTGGACCTTGCAACATAAGAGGATTATGAAATTTATCTTTTTGGCATCCACATGCTCAAGTTTTGTTTTACAAAAATCAATGTAGAATATTAATCATTTTCTTTAATACATAATACGAGTTATCATATATCAAGATTTAAAAATCTCGTCTTAGTAAATGATGCTTTTTATTGTTCTGGAACTTTATGAAATCAATCTAGAAAACTCAACCAGCTTACTTTACAAAAATTATTGTTTCACTTAAAAACTTTCTTCATTACTTTTTAGCATAGAGAATGGTTTTAAGACCCTGTAAAGAATTTTGCATATATTTTGAAAAGTGCAGTTCAGGGAGATTGAAAGAATAGAAGATTTGGCTTAAATTTGATAATTTAACTGAGTAAAAAGCTGAAGCTCCAACCAAATTAAAAAAAACTACTTTCATAGTGCATTTTTCTCTTGGACAGAGAGGAACTTTTTCAAAACTTTGTTTTCATAACATTAATCTTGCTAATTTTATCATTTGTTTGGTTAACATGAAACATATACACTGGTTTGTACAATATGATGTTGATTTTTGGTCAATTTCAATTTATTCTCAGAAGAAATATAAATTAGTTTAACTTCATAATGGGTGTTTTAATTTTGCAACAATTTCTGCATTTAATTCACAGGACTATCTGGACATGGAAATTTAGTATTGTCTTTTACCTATTTATAGTGCATTTTGTTATATGTAACTTAGTTGATCAAAACCCACAACTTATCAAAATATCTACGGATAATGTGGAGTTACACGAGTTAATTAATTCTAAAGTTATCGTGGCCTTGTCAAAGAATTCCGTAAGCAATAGATAAGCTTTCCTTCCCTGTGATTTCGGGTCATAAAAAACTGACCTCAACAATGTAGGTTTACAACCATTCCTTGTGATAAACGTAATTCAATGTCAAAAACCACACAGTACACTATACCTGGAAGTTCATATATTTAAGTAGGATCAGCGCCCGACATCAATATATTTCATATAACACCATATTTCATTGACTAGGCCTGTTAGCGGACAACACAAACGCATTTCAGTTTCACCGCTAAAGTTTTTCTATAAAACCTAAATTAATCAGCAGTTCCTAGACTATTGTGTAAAATAAAACATTTGTAACTTGAATAATTCAATATCGGTTGTTTTGATTTGCAGTAGCTAATAGCTTGCAAGAAATTCGAGAATAATTTCAGCCCTGGTACTTGCCGACAAACACAAACAACACTATTAGAAAACGTTCAGACAGATTGGATGTGATTCGTGCCGGCGTTTTTTGGTTCTTAAATATCTATGGCCTGAGAAGCTACAACTAACTGACTGTCACTGTATTTATCTCTGTGATTCTTTAGGATTACAGATACACTTTATTTATGGTTTAACTCCTCATAAATTTTATGCCACCTCGAAACTGTAAAACCTTCTCAATCAACAAACCACTGATTTTGGCAATCTGCTCAGGTGCAAGTTGCAAATTAACCATAATCAACTTAATATGCTAAAATCAGAACCCAACATCTCCTAATACTCTGCAAAATTCTATAAGTGTTGGAATGATATTCATAAAATATATTTCTGATAATTAAACTAGCATGAAAACCAAGGTTATGTACAGAGTGAGTGAGAACATACCGCAAAATTCTACTTACAGAATTAGCGTTGAGCTTCGAAGGGATGAGGGAAAACTCTTCAACTTTTTATTGGAACAATCTACCATCTTTTGGCTGCATGAACACATACTTGGACATGTTCCGATGGACTTATCTTCGCCTGACACCTTGGGCAAATACACCAGGCTATACCCAAACATGGCGACCATAATCAAAAACCATCTCGAGGTAGGCCTAAATAATTTCGGCTTTAATGTCGGCTTGGACATGTTTAAGCTTTGATAGCTCCAGCGTTCTGGTCAGATGTTTTCCAAATCCAAGCTTTAAAACTGAACTGTGACAAAGAAACGTTTATCTTCGAACTGTTCTGGGCATTGAATGATGAAGGAACGGCGGAGTGTCGAGCTTTTGTCTATCTGTCATACTGCTCACCGAGCTGGTTAAAAACAAAAGACTCGCTATAAAAACAATTTCTTTGTGTAACAATCAAAAGCCGACAAATATCTATTTCGTGAAAAATAATTCAAGATCTGCAACAAATAGGAGCATAAACTTAAGGTAGCTGGAAATTGAAAGATTCTTTTTCAAATTTCTATGACAAAATCTCTGGTGACATTATCAAATTTTATTAAATGACAAACCGCAGGCCTGGTTAACCCTGGAAAGCTGCTATTCTTCTCGCAAACAAAAGGTTGTTTGCAGAAAAAGTGCATTTTATCACAAGCATAATACTATTTGCCTTTAACACTAGTTAAATGCAAATTAATTCACTTGAAAAGTACGATCGGATAATACAAATAACAGTATAGAAACGCAATATTAAATGGAGGTTTAGATACTTCTCCAGCACAAAATAGGCCAAATCTGCATAATTCAATTCAAAATACTAAATCATCAATATTTTGCTGCAAATTTCTGTTTTTTATTCAGAAAGTTACAAAATTCGTGAATTCCTAAGCCTACTTGAAAGATATGACATTGAAAGAAACATCGCGATCAGCTTTGAAGTCGAATTGTGCAAAGGAAAACATTCGTGCTGTTTTAGAACAACAGATCGCTCTACTGGATACCTTCTCCTGACTGAGTCCCTCACCGTCGTTTCCCCATGCATCTGAACGACTAACTGTGCTCTATGAAGAGATGAAAATATTGTACCTGACAGCATTCATCCTCCATACAAAAATAGTTAGAAAAACTAATAAGGCCGAACGTGAATAAACGGCGTGGTTCGTTTGCGTTACTCGAACCCGCTGGCCGCTATAAACTTTCAGCCAGGAGGCCGAAAGGAAGGACGGCCGAGATTTGGTTTGGGTCACCGTTATTTATTTCTTCTGGGGCAAAAATAAAACACGACTACGCTTTCAAACAGAGTCACAAAATACGATTAGGGAGAGGCAATACCCCTATTATTTTTCTAAATGAAGCTACTTTGGTGTGCATATCTTTCGTTATTGTTCGCATTCGCAACTAGAGTCTTTACAAACTTTGTCCGTATTTGGAAATAAAACACTTGGGTTTTATGAACCCTGCAACGTATTTGTATTTTCTCCGGGGCGTAAACAGCTTTTGGGGCTCAAAATGCTGAAGACAAAAGCAAAATGACTTCTGTACTGGTTCAAGTATATTTAGGGGATTTTGGGGGCTTTGCCATTTTAGCCCCTCTGATTACGTGGTCTCTAATGTGAGTAGTATTTCAAGCTTTTATTCCATAACTTTACAAAATCGAAGAGATAGCAAGGAGAATGATACAGGGTACCTCAAGGGCCCCTTCTGGGACCAATCTTTTTTACTCTCTTTGTTATTGATATCACAGTTTCAACATACGGTAAATCCTCGAATAAGCTCCCACGCGTGAATAAGCCTCCCCCTTGAATAAGCCCCACCTAAAAAATGATTTTTGCAAATAAGCCCCCCCCCCTCGAATAAGCCCACATGGGGAGCATAATTGCAGAATAATATCTTATTTCAAGAAAGCCATATATTTCAATAGCTATACAGTATTACTTCCTTTGATTGGAGACCAAAAAGCAAAAAGACGACTTTTGAGGCGATAAAAAGTTATAATATTTGTTAGATCTTCACACTTTTTGTAATTTTTCAATATATTTCATAAAGAAAATTATGTCGTTTTTATGTCGACTTTTGGAAAAATATTAAACTTTGAAATAAGAGGCCCCCGAATAAGCCCCCCTCGAATAAGCCCCACCTAAAAATTCATTTTTGTAAATAAGCCCCCGGGGGCTTATTCGAGGTTTTACAGTATTCAAAACCGCGAATTTTTGTGGATGACGCAAAACACTTGTACAATGGCCCAGGAAACAGATTTGGAACATGTTTGTTTCAAGTTAACTAAATTAGTTCAAAACTCTGAAAATATATCCAGTTTATTCAAGCTCTCAGACAAACCACTGAATTATGCGTCCTTTGTCTTCAAAATGGAGGAATCGTTCAAACAGGTGAGCGATATCAAATACCTTGACTTCAAAATCAAAGCTAAACTTTTATGGCAGAAGCACATTTATGAAATGAAAACGAAATTATTCATCCATGTTTTTAAGACTAAGGTATTGTATTCCTAAAGACTGCCTGAGAGCACTGCATGAATCTCTTTTTGTGTTCAAAGCTAACTTACTGCCTTGAGACCTATGTTCTGGATAAAAATAAACTAACTAAGGGATTTGTGCAGACGATGAAAAATTGAATATAAACTTTGACATCTCATTATAATATCGCTTACCCTGGGTACCAGACTCTATTTTATTTTATATAAAGTGAGTCTGGTACCCAGGGTAAATATCACTGCAATTATGTTAAAAAGTTGTTTTTAAAGGGTGTTGCATATAGTAGAAATTTTAATGAAAATCGTCTGGTATGTCATAAAGTACACACTTCTGTTGCATAGAACAGGACGTTGCTAGTGGCTACTACAAGTTTCACGCTTGATGCGAACATCAACAACTTAAAACCCTCCTGCTATATAGGATAAAAGCTTAGTAAAATTTTTAAATGAAATTGTAAAAACTTAATTCCTGTATCGTCCTTGCGTACCCTCCTTTACGAAAAATTAGCACTAAAAGGCAAGTATCTCTGGATTTTGAATTCTAAGAGAGAACTTCTATCCTTTATTCTAAACCATCATTTTACCATCAGGTTAAACGTAATATGAAAAATCGTGTGTATTTGACCAATTGTATGCCCACTACGTATTCGCCACACAGATATCCCTTGGTAACTACAGAACAGAAGGACATAACTTGCGTGCATTAAAATATTTTTAGCAAGAATATAGTTTACAAAAGTATCGACGCTATAACCTCTACTGTTAATAAAGATTATCATGCTCAAATTTCATCCAAAGTAACCATTTATCGAAGTTTTTTTGACAACCTTTGATTTCAATGACTGAATGATCTTTCCCTTTCATTCTTTTAAATAATTTACCAAACATGACAGAAATTTTTAAACAATATCGAATATCTTAAAAATCATATCTTAAAAAACTTACTATTTAAAGGTTATTCAAACATGTGCTGCGTAAGCTTAAGAATCTTATCCACGTTTTGCATTTAAGGATACCAATTTTCAAACTTACTTTACAAAAACTGAAAAGTGATTCCAATCTTTTTGACTTTCTTTTTGGGAGCATTTGCTTGTTTCTTTGCAATTTCCCAAATACCTGGGCTTAATTCTGCAGCAAGTTGTTCTGATTAGACTTAAACATTGAAGCTCTTTGCAGTTAAGCAATCCATCAAAGAATGTAATTGCACCAAAGAAGGTGCAGTAGACTCCTGTTATAGTCACCAAGAACCGAGATACCGGAGGGGGGGGGGGTTGGGGGCCTTGGCGTTCCCAAAAACCTCAGTAGCATAATTAAAGCACTTTTATCTTGTAAAATACGGCTGTTGTGGCACTTATTAATCAGGGCTGGCCCCCCAAACATTAGTAGTATCTCGGTCTTTGATAATCACATCAAATGTTGTTTGAAAACTTATGACTGTAAACGGAATGTGACTGTAAGCGGAGCTAAATTCAAAAGCCTTGTATATTTGGGTCTAAGTTTTATGTGACTTTAACTATTTGTGTAACTTTTAGCGGAGTGACTAGAAAAGAAGTCGACTGTAATCGCAAACTTACATATTATTTCATATTTTCAGGCAATCAAAGAATCAAGATATGCATGGGGCCTTGGAAAAGGGAGGCCATGTCCCCAGATCTATCAGCAAGGTATGTAGTTAGGTTATTAACGATAACTAAACTCTTTTCATTGGATGCCCCTGTCTTTCAGGTTCAAGGCACGGTCTCTGATTCGCCAATATATCTTAGACTGAAATTTGCTAAAAAAGGAACAAGCTATTTCTAAAAAGAGAGTTTTTGGCGTTGAGCTGAAAACTCATGCCTTCTTCCTGGTTTTCAGGAAATGCTTAAAGTATGCAGTTCCCGTACTGAAGACGATATTCCAAATGATATGAAGGAGTTATCAACACTTAAGTGTTTTCAAAAAGCCATTTAAAGTGATAAACCAACTTGATGTTTGGTAACCAGAAAAAGCAAGTAGATACCAGCACACGTTCAAGTACCGCGGACCGTTGAAAAAAATGAGGGGTCTAAGAAGGTGGGGGGGGGGGACTAAAAACGAACAAAAAAAGGCTTCACTGGTGGCTCATTCCCTAATATTATTCATTTTTTGCAAAAGTGGGTAGGGGGCCAAAGCCCCTCAAGCCTCCCTATTCTGCGATGCCTGATGTTGTTGAAAAAGCATCCGACTGCCGAACGAATTCTATTTACTTAATGACAATGTACAGAATAGGAGCCATTCGGATGGGCTGCCGCTCTTCCTTACAACGTCACCTCATTGCACAGTAGTACAAATCTTTCTCATCACAACGGGCCTTCACACAAGTTGGACAATGGGGGACTGAGGGAAAATTAAGAATCAATACAAAAGGGTTTGCAAAAAGGTGGGGCTATTTGCCATCAGCCCCGCAATCTGGAACCCAACATCAAAGTCTATTACAAGTCTATTACGGCTTTACAATTTTATTCACACATTGGTTTTTTAGTTTTCACCTTCTATGCCTATGAAAACATATTTTAGATGGAGAAGCTGTAGAGTTGGATCAAGGATCTGTTAAGAAACTGTTCAATAAGTTACGCATCAAAGTTGCCCAGAAGGCGTATTCTTATTGACAAATCCAATCCAAAAAACCTTGATTTCACAAGTAATATTGAAATGGTTCAAATATTTAACAACTCATCTGTATTACCAATGTAAACATAAGAATATATTAAAAAATATATCAATTTGCTGTATTAAGTTTTATCAAAGCAAAGATGCTGAACTGCAAGCCACATGTGGAAAGTATGAATTAATCATTAACGAATTGCAATTATTGCAATGGAATAATAAACTCTATAAGGAACTTTAACTATCGAAACTGATTCTATTGAGTTTTATTATATGACAACCTTACATAAGATTTAAATTGCAAATAAATGTTAATTATCAATCATGTGATATTTATGATGAAAAGAAACATATGGAGTTGCTGAGAAATCCATTCGCCAACAACTAGGCAAAGAGATTGAAGAACTTTAAAGATGTATCAGTAATGTAAATGCTTTCTGGAGGAAGTTTGTGTTTTTGATTTCAGCAGTGTATTTATTAGTCCAATTCAGCCATCAGAGAAACAGTTTGTCGACCTCTTTTAAATAAATAATCTTTTGAAAAAAAGCGCACAAATATATATTTTTGGTTTATCTGAAAAGCGAAATTTTTCTTTGATAGGATGCTACTAGGGAGCACATCGCCCCGTGGCCCCTCAGACAATACCCCCTCAACAACCCTCTTTATTTTTTACGACACAAAAACCATTTATACACTTTCCCCCCAAAACACTTTTAGCACAACAATTAATCAATTATTAGGGTATTAAATGCTGAAATGTTTAATAGCCTAAATATATGCAAAGGCAACAAGGTCCTTTAGGAAAATTTTGGAAAATACTGAAGGCGACTTAATATTATTCAAAATAATTCTCCTGCTCTTCAGTCTTACATTTTTTGGATTCCTTGCTCGGTGCTGCCAGGTCAAATTTGTATCTTGTCAAATAATGCAACGTAGCTTTTCAAAAATATAACTAAATTCACATTATGAAATTCTTTTGAAAATAAGAAGGCTTAAGGTTGTACACATGTTGACACAGGAAATT